TTATGTTAATTCAACACTATTATAAGGAGCTACCTATAATAGTGTTGAATATATATACCAAAAGAGACTAGACTTTAGGACACGAGGTCGTACATTTAGTAGAATTGTCGATTGCACCTATTGCCCCTCATATTAAAGTAAAGGTCAGTGCTGGATAGTGAACACAACACATATATTGTTTGAAAGGGTATAAGTATAAAGTACAATGATAAATTATTGTAGTTTATACTTATATCTACCCTTTCAAAAGACAAAGACAAGACCTTGACTGCCTTGAACGCCGTTACCTATAACATTGGGGGTAAGAAGCTTAAATATACGTGGTAGAGCCATGCTGCAGCTATATTAGTAGTATGGTTGTAGCACGAATGTGTCGGCTCGACCGGGGAGGACCACGCTCTCACAGATTACCAGCGTAAAATAGCAGCTTAACAGTGCTGTGTTACGCTGCTATTTGTGTAGAGAATAGAAGTGTAGAGATTCGGAGACCCATTTTACTGGAAAAGAGGGATTCCATCTTAGTCCTCACGGGTGACGACGCATCTGCTTTTTGATTCTTTATTGAGGATAAATGTAGATGTCTATGGGTCACAGCAACCACTTACCATCGGGTGGACTGTGTGCTCGTTTGTCACCCAATCCTATATAAAAAATATAGTTTTCTATTTAATAGTGGAAGATAGTCCATATTAAATACAGCTTAAAATTTACAAATTAAACGTGGACCACAAATCTCATTAAACCCACAGAAAGCTGTGTTATTTGTTGCGTTTCGCATGAGGACTGAATACCCAGTTATTGAAAAAAAAACAACATCGTTTATGTTTTCGATTTTTTTTAATATAATAAGGTGACAAACGAGCGCTAGTCCACCTGATGGTAAGTGGATGCTGTGACCCATAGACACCAACATTTATCCCCAATTAAGAATCAAAATGCAAATGTGTTGTCACCCCTGAGGATTAAGATGAAATGCCTTGTTTCCAGTAAAATAGGGTCTCCTGTTCTCTACACTCACCATACGAAACACAGCAGCATTAAGCTGCTATTTTACGCTGGTATTCGGTGAGAGCGTGGTCCTACCCCGGTCGAGCCGACCTATTTCGTGCCACAACCATAATATACGAGTATATATTTTTTTAAATTATGTTTTATTGAAAGAAAAGATCAAATCAATTATTTTTTTATTGTGTTTATCCTAGAGGAAATACAAGATACGCAATACTGAACTTTCTATCGTTTCATTAAAATTCTTTCATTTCATATTATTTATTTGTTTAAACTTTATACGTGGTAGAGTCTAATATATGTGTGTGTGTTTATAGTATATAGCTATAATTTTAACACGAATGGATTGAGCCGACCTATTCGAGTTAAAATTATAATATAGGGTGATAATAGTGAACCGGAGACCCTTTTTCTGGAAACGAGGCGTTCCATGTTGGTCCTTAGGGTCGACAACGCAAGTGCATTTGATTCTTAATCTAGGATAGATTTAAATGTCTATAGGCCTCGGCAATCCACTTGCCATCGGGTGGACTGTGTGCTTATTTGTCATCCTTATTCTTTAAAAAATAAAACATTTTTTTATTAAAGAAGGAATTTTATAAATGCGAGCAGTTCATAACATGGCGGATTTAATGCCTAAAGGCATTCCCTCCCTGTCAACAATTAGGCTAAACAAAAAATTATATATAAAAGGCGGTGCAAAAAACCTAAAGGGAAAAAATAATGATCCCACACTCATTCATATTATCGATTCTAGTAGTTAAAAAATTATAGTTGGTTTGTTTAAAGAAATAGATTTTAATTATTTCCTCAGAAAATACTGCAACATTACTTACATCAATTGCGAAGTTCCTAGAAACTGTAAATAAGTGTAACAAACGCCAATGTTAATAACCGCAAATGATCAGAATTAAGTTAACAGTGAATCTAATTTGCGCGGTGGTTTCGACATACGAGAATATTTATAACAAGTGGTCGAGCTAGATTCTATATCGTTGCGACACGGATGGGTACAGCGGGCGTTTATTTATAACATGCATTATTCTGTTGATTAATATTTATAATGATGGCGGTTTAAGAAATCCAAGTCTGCACTTTGTTTGGTTGGTGTCGCATAATGGTGCTGTTTATAAATAAAATGGACAGTCCACTTTGTTTACATAAGGTCCGTCCCATCTGTAATTAATGTCTTAAATGATATACTAACTAATAGTTATATATCATAGTTAGTAACTATGATATATCCGCGGTAGCTCAGGGCATAGAGTAATTAGACTAATTATTCTAAGGCCTCGCTATAAATTTCACGGTACTCGAGCTACCACCGATCCTCGTCGATATCTATGAAATTGTTAATTGCAATTTAAAATGCAGATTTGCAGATTTACCACGTGCTCTGTGGCGAAGAAAATCATTGTGAGGAAACCTGCATTGCTGAGAAATAAAAAAAATTTAGATAGCCATGCGAAGTCTACCAGCATGCACTGTGGCAGCGCTGCGGAAATTTACTTGCACTTTAATAAATTAGTATTTTCGCCAAAAAAGACGTAAAAATGTAGTATTTTTGGGAAATTCAGGAAAAAAGTACAAATTTATTTTTATGCATTTTGCCATATATATATATATATATATATATATATATATATATATATATATATATATATATATATATATATATATATATATATATATGAAATAGGAATCTGAGCAATTTAAATTCATTTTAAAATAAGTTAACAATTCATTTTTAATGAAATGTATTATCTATTTCTTTCTTCTTTCCATTTAACATTCATGACGAAAAAATATTTCCGTAAAACTTACTTGTTCCTGACTTTCAGTTCAGTTTCAGACAGTTAATATAAAAAATCGCAATACTATTTGAATTCGGACAAAAATATGGTATTTTAGTACAATATTATTGAAAAATAATATATGTGTGATTTTAACGTATAATACAATTTATTGAAATATAGTACGATATTATACCTATATTGTAGTACGGGTGGCAACCCTACCTAAAACCCTCTTAAAATGAGGCGGTTTGTACCCAGCTGTGGGACGCTTAATAAAAATGAGGTGGTTTGTACCCAGTTGTAGGACGTTTAATAAAAATGAGGTTTGTACCCAGTTGTGGGACGTTTAATAAAAATGAGGTTTGTACCCAGCTGTGGGACGTATAATAAAAATGAGGTTTGTACCCAGCTGTGTGACGTTTAATAAAAATGAGGTTTGTACCCAGCTGTGGGACGTTTAATAAAAATGAGGTTTGTACCCAGCTGTGGGACGTTTAATAAGAATGAGGTATGTACCCAGCTGTGGGACGTTTAAAGGCTGTTACTTTACCTTACTATAGTATAAGGGAAGTTCCTACGACTGTAATGTGGACAAGCTTTTTTACATTTATGTTCATGTTCCAATAAATATTCTACGAATATGTCTCTCAAATTCGATTTGAGAGACGTTACAAATTTCACTCTGCTCATTTTATTTATTTTTTATTTCCATAATATCTAACATCTAGTCCGGGTTTGGCAACGTCAGTGCAATCTGCCGTCCTTTTGCTAGGTCAGATAATAATGATACTGCTTAGTGACACAACTGTTCAAATTAAATCTTAATTTTATTTAATATTACATATAATCAATAAAACATAAAACGTGTGTCTTTATGTGAACTGATGTAATTACACAATAAAGGAGACTCGGCGAGTGCAAAAAAAATTAACGTCCCTACTCAACGGTTTCTATTTGTGATTTCCCGCGTCTCTAATAAAGTATGGATGATTCCCACTTTATCTATTACTTCTTTACATCACCTAAATAAATCAAAATGTTCTCATAAACGCGCAGTCTGCATTCCGTTTTTATTCGTATTGCCAACGTGAGTAGTATAGAACCACTGTCGTCGTCATACTCCTTTCACCTTTAGTAGTTATATAGCCTAGGTTTACTATATACTTGCCTGCTCTTAGAAAGGTTTAAGCATTTTAAAGTACATCTCGAATGTAACAATAAACTGCCACTTCTGCAAACAGACTGTTTTGAAGGGAGAGTTTAATAGTGGCTATGTTTGTAAAGTAATAACACATGAGTAAAGATGTAATACTTCACAATCGCTTAGGTTCGAATCCCGCACGGAACTAGTGTTTGCATGGCCTATATTTTTTTTTTTGCTTTGGATGTTTCTAATGTGTAACTTAAGTACGTAAATCTTCTACACTATACAGGAGAAATTTCGTTCGCGACAGTAACTTTTTTTAAATAAAATGATAACCTTGGATCCTTTTTTTTAAAACCATGGACCATTCAATATTTTCGTCTTCACACCTTTTTCTATAAAGTTGCTAAATTAAAACTTAAGATCACAGGGTGCATATTATTATATCCGTATGTTTCTGATCTGTCTCGGGTAATATGGAATTCGAATAAATCGAAGAACTCCTTTATTTATTCGATAACCCTTTAATTTATAACAAACAATACCATTTGAACCTGTAATCAGCAGTCGTTGTAATAGCATAGAAAAAATATCTAACTGTTAACGTTTTTTTTATAGGAGATTTTTTTATTTTCCTTGCGGCTCACGTGATGGTAAGTGACTACCGCCTACCATGAACACCCGCAACACCAGGGGAACCAGGGGAATTGCAGATGCGTTGCCGGTCTTTTAAAAAGGAGTAGGCTTTTTTCTTGAAGGTCCCTAAGTCGTATTGGTCAGGAAAACTCGCTGGTGATAAACTATTCCACAAGGAAGTTGTGTGAGGAAAAAAACTTCTAAATCGCACAGTGGTGGACCGCCAATCATCCAGATGGTGTGCATGGTATCGGGAGTTCTGCCACGATGTGCGTTCGTGAAATTTGGCGGCTGGGATTAATCCGAACAATTCCTCAGGGCTTAATTTAAATTGGTTAATAAAAGTAAGACAATAGTTGGCTTGGTTGGTAACTAAATTACTAACAGATTTCTCTTTTCTTTAAGGTTACGTCAAGATGCCTTCGCTCTTAGAAGCCTTAGAGCGCAAATACGGCGCGAAAGGTGAAGTCAACCCTTCAATAGACGATATGCCTGTTGCCATATTCGTGCCCAAGCGTTCTCCACGACTCAGCGTCCCCACACTGTTGGTGTTGAACGACTGTGACATTGACTGCGCTGGCGACGCCATAGCTCTAGCTGACAAATGCGCCGACGTGGTCGAGTTGGATCTGGCGAATAATAAACTTACAGAATGGCGGGAGGTAAGAAGAAAGTTGAGAATGTATTTTTACATTTAATACCTTAATTTTAAGGCTGTCTTCACATGAAAGTCCTCGGCGTATTTTTATCTTTTTGCTTTCATGACGTTAATAGAATGAAGAGAGGAAATAAACATATGACAACTAATCCCGTACACCGTACTTCCTTCTTTTTCATCGGCTTCAAGAGTTCATTGCTGAATATTGGTTTTTCCGAAAAGAGTTAGTAGGACTCATTTTCTGAGTCCCATCTGAGTAGGTACCCTTTAGTACCCTTTTACCTATTTCTCGTGCAGTGATCGAAACACTGCAGCGAGACAGTGCGTGCACTGTTGTTTCAATGTAAAGGGTATAGATCATATATATCATGTTCCATCGTAGTCTTCAGTGGTGACAACGCACCTGGAACCTTACTTTTTTGAAGTTGTTCGCAGGGATCCATGGGCTGAAGTAGCCACTTACTATCTGATGGACTATACGTTCGTTTGTCACTTCAGTTTTAAAAAAAGAGGATTTGATGCAATCGTCGTTTTCGACAGGCGGTATCTCACCGTTTATAAGTCGGGAGACTTCTGATATTTTAATAATATTGCTATCTACCTTTATAATACCGACTGCCGATTTTCTAGAGACGACAGGGTTATATAATACACTAAACAGGACTGTCTATAAAGAGTAGAACGAATTTATTATTAAGACCGCTATAATTAATTACTTAACACCCCCATTTCGTTGATCAATGTATTTTAACGTCATAATAACGTTAAATTTGCATCACACTTTGTGTTCTTAAAGATTTTATCTATTTTATTTTAATATTTAGTATGTAATAATATTTTATTTGAACTAATAATGTACAAAATGCCGAAAGTAATGCCAAAAATATTGTCTGCCAGTCTACATTTCGGTGGCGCAAAGTGGATACTAGTGGTTAAAAGTCCAAAAGACACTTAAGATCGTAAAAATAAAATGCGTGTTAAATTAATCTAATTTAACCATTGTTTATCTCTGTCTATCATCAGCAGGATCATGTGATAGCCTGTTTATAATGTTATTACGAAAATTCACATGTTCTAACTTGCAATGTGCACAGTCTTAGTGATAATAAACATCTGTTCCCACAAGCATATTGCATCACCGGCTATTGATGTCGAGGCTTCCGTGATATTGTGCTCTAAATTCTCATACTGTCGGAATCTGTAAATGCTGTAAGTGCTACATCGTACCTAATCTATTGAGTACACTGAAATTACCTTACGCTTCCTATACGTTATGCACTTACTAATTCTGCTATGTGCGTATTTAAGTAAGCATCACTTAATAAGTTAAAAAATATCTGAATTAAATTTAATTCTTTGCATTCTGTGCTGCTATGCTCGCGTTTGCTGTGTACTGATGAGCTCCATATATTAAGATCTCTTTTTTTATTTTTTCCTCTTTTTAAGTTTTAAAGAACATGATTCAAGTTAACGATGGGTCTCCCATATTTCATTTTTTTTATAAACTTAGATCTATGTTATTAAAGTAAAAAAATTTCAGAAAAGAATTTCGGAGATTTTTTCGTCATTTCTTCTCTGATCAGAGGAATCTCATTTCGAAACGGTAGTACGTTTAGAGAAAAAGATAGATTTAACAAACGAAATTTTACTCATGTCCAAAAAATAAATAATATAAGTATAATTTCATTTCATGTCACATCTATTATTACACATAATAGAGTTTACAGGTCGTTTTTAAGAAGACTTTGTACATAAATGTTTTTGTAAATAATAATAATAATAATATAACTTTATTTCAGACATAATTAGTCCATATTAAGTGTAAGTATATTAGTAACAATTTTACTTAATAACTATGTTAGTGATGTTAGTATTTATGCCTACATAATAATAATATTTATACATAATTCATAATCTTTTTAATCCTATTGCCAGCTCTACCCAGTGTCGCTGAAAGCGGCAATCCGGTCTCGCCGCGATCATTTTTAAAATGCTGTTATTACTGTTTCGCAGACGCTGTAACATTGAGGCTGATTTCTTTCGCATAACAACATGAAATCCATTAGTTCTAGTATCCGCGAACATTTTCGAAGCACTACAGCGCCATGGCAGTCCCAACAGCATTCTAAAAGCGTTATTGTATTGAATGCGAAGGGCGCTGTAAGCTCGTCGCCTGTATGATACCCACAGGCTACTCGAGTAAAAAGACTGGCAAAATGCTTTGAAAAGAGTGACTTTTACGTCATCTGTACATCGAGCAAACCTGCGGGCAAGCATATTGCTCCTAACTGCCAGCGCCCTGCGCTCCCTCTCTATATCACAATCATCACTTAAATCGCTCGTTATAATGTGACCAAGATACTTAAGAGTATTAACGATGCAAAAGACGTAACGATGTAAAATATGCAAAAATACCAAAAGAAAATTAAAAACGCACACATCAGAATTTGCGGTGTAAACATACGTCTAGCATACACGGGATGTTAGACGTAAAATACGGGTGTTAAAGATGCGCGACTTTTGGTACTAAGATCGCTAATCCGCCTCTCAAGCGTATCACCAAGTAATACCAAATGTACGACCTAACCTCTCTAAAACGGGATAAGTTTATGTTTAGTAATGGACTTACAACCATTATAACTAAATTTTAAATAATTGTATTTTGTTTTAAAATCTAATCTCTAATTCAAATCGTGCAAACTCAGATACCATATTCATCATGAATCGTTTGTTTTAGGTCTTCGCAATATTGGAGCAGACGCCACGGGTCCGTTTTCTAAATCTAAGTTTTAACCGTCTTTCTGCACAAATTCAAGCAGCACAGGCGCTGCAACCAAAGTGGGACAGCCTTAGTCACCTCGTTCTAAACTCTACATATGTTAGTTGGCCCAGTGTCCACGGTCTACTTAAGGCTCTACCAGCTCTTGAGGAATTGCATTTGAGTCTTAACGAGTACTCCTATGTGGACTTAAGCGGCAAAGAAATAGATGAAAAGGATCGATGCGAAGCGTGCTCCCGTCTCAATGTAGACACCACTGAGCCAGTTCATGAACAACTGAAGAAACTTCATTTCTCCGGAAATCCCGTTAGAAGCTGGTTAGAGATATGCAAGTTGGGATATGCCTTCCCGAATTTAGAAACTCTTTTGGTCAACGAGTGTCCCATAACAACATTGGAACCGGATCCGTGTGAGAAATGCGGCGACAACAACGGGAACAAGAAAAGCCATGACGCCTTCCCGTAAGTACTTATTTTAGAGCAAATCAGAATTTCTGTATGTACTAGTAAACAAGCTTAAAAGTTAAGTCATTTAAAAAAACCCGACATAGTAAAAAAAGTTAACTGAAAAGTGAAAATTTTGTACTTACCCAATGTCACTTCTACAACTAAGACAAATCTAACGACACCCATATGTTAAAACTTAAAATCCATCAAGTCGTATAGGCTACAGAGCATGCCAAAAAAATAGACATAGGTACATACATTCTCTCGAAAAACATTACCCTACCCTATACATCACGGACCTCTCCAATTGTAAGTAACTTGACTAGCGGTGGTAGAGCCACGCAGCAGTTTTTGCTGCTGCACGTATGGGTCGGCTCGAGCCGGGTTGGTACCACGATTTCACAGAATACCGACGTGAAGTAGAAGCTCTGCTTCTGCGTTTCGTCTGGTGAGTGCAGGTGGGCGGAGGCGCAATCCTCCCTGTTACATACAGGTCGGCGGATTGGGACGGAATGCGGTCTTTCTTTGCATCCTACCCATGGAGGCGGGTTTGCTTCTCGCCGGATGATCCCAGCGCTGTTGCTGACTCTGTCACTGATGTGGTGCTACAGGTAATGGAACTATTTATTCCATCATCTGTGGTACCCATCGGAGGCAGATCTCAGCCTTGGTTTGGTCGCTCCTGTAAGACTGCATTACACAGTAAGCAGGAGTGTTATCAAGCCTGGGCTGCGGCTTCGACGACTCGGGATGTAAACACCAGCACACTTAAAAAGAAGTATAACTTCGCCTCCAGGTCCTTCAAAAGAGTTATTGCCAAGGCAGAGTCAGAGCACATAGGCAGAATTGGCGAGAAACTAGTTCGCCTTCCTTCGGGAACCCGTGCATTCTGGTCTCTCGCCAAGGCTGTCCAAGGGAATGTCTGTAAGCCATCACTACCATCTCTGCACAGGGAGGACGACTCACTGGCCCAAGCCGCAAAAGACAAAGCCGACCTTTTAGGCTCCCTTTTTGCGTCCAACTCGACTCTTGATGACGGGGGGAAAATACCGCCGATCATCCCGCGATGTGAGTGCTCCATGCCGGATATGCTGTTCTCACAGCGCTCGGTTCGCAAAGCACTTCTCTCCCTGGACATCCAGAAGTCGAGTGGGCCTGACGGAATCCCCCCAATTGTGCTGAGAACGTGTGCTCCGGAGTTGGTACCGGTCCTTACGCATCTTTTCCGGTACTCTTACTCCCAAGGCGTAGTCCCGAATTCATGGAAGACAGCTTTTGTCTACCCGATCCCTAAAAAAGGCGACCGCTCAGACCCGTTCAACTATAGGCCTATCGCGATCATCTCCTTGTTCTCCAAAATAATGGAATCCATTATTAACTGCTAGCTCATCCGGTACCTTGAGGATCACCAGCTGATTAGTGACCGCCAATACGGTTTTCGTCGGGGTCGATCAGCTGGTGATCTTCTGGTCTACCTGACCCATAGATGGGCGGAGGCAGTAGAGTCCAAGGGGGAGGCGTTGGCCGTTAGTTTGGACATTGCGAAGGTCTCCGATCGGTTTTGGCACAAAGCGCTTCTTTCGAAGCTCCCTTCCTATGGGCTTCCCGAGAAATTGTGCAATTGGATCACCAGCTTCCTTGCAGATCGGAGCATCAAGGTCGTTGTAGACGATGCATGCTCTGACTACAAGCCTATTAACGCTGGTGTTCCACAAGGCTGTATGCTATCACCAACGCTGTTTCTTCTGCATATCAGTCAGTACATAGACATCGACAGAAGAGCAACCACTTTTTGTAAATTGCTTTATTTTGGTTAATTCTGTTGTGTAGCGAGTCCTTAACGTCTTTATTTTATGTTTAATATCTTCTTCAGTAACCTCTAAGTTTAAATCACTAATTACAGATTTCATAGCGTTTGCTCGTATTGTTTTGTCTTTATATTCATCAAGATTTTAGTTCCAAAGAAATTGAAATTTTTTATAATTGTCCAAAACAGCAGCGTACTTTGATCGTTCCACTTGAACACCATTTTGTCGCGGCGGTTGTCCTGACTCCTGACGTTTATCTGCTACAGGATTCAACACAAAATGTCCGAACTCGAGTGAACGTTTCCCCAGTGTTCAAACTGCTCATTTATCGTTCATTCGGAATGGGACTGAATGATGCCAAATGACAACATCCAATATTGTTGGATCGATTAACTAATGAATTCATTTGGCACTTTTCTTTCATTCCAAGTTTAAACGTTTCATTTCCAGTGAAAGTTGCCGAATGAAAAACACAAATGAACAAAAAATTAACCGTCTGATTCCGCCTTTAGTTACAAAGTAACAAGGCAACAAACATATCAATGTTTGTGGTACTGCAATTATTATCAGTTGTCAGCTTTATCATTGACATTGGCCTTATGGACCCAAATTGGAGGATCAAGTAATTAACCCTATAGCTTATCGTTTAAGATACGATTTGTTTACAGTCGTCTCCGATTCCTCAATCTAAACAATACCGGTCTTGCCACGTGGGACGAAGTTGATCGACTGGCTTTGTTTCCGGCACTAAGAAGTTTAAGAATACAAGTAAGTGGACATTTTTTTTCGAAGACTATACCTGTTATTTTTAAGTATTATAATTTTCAGCGATGATATGTTATGTAATTGAACATTACGATATAAAATACAAAATATGTACTTACATAAATATTTCGCCAGTCTGAATCTGACATTTTAGATGTAAAATAAAGTTTAAAAATTGAGTTTCCACTATTGACATTTAAGGATTGGGAATTTGTAATTGGAGTACAGTATTATATTCATTTTTTTTTAGCAAAGCAATAAGGTCAATACACAAGTAAAAATATTAACTAACCCCATAATATAAAGTGCGTGTAAAGGAGACGACAGAAGGAAAGAAAGCAGGAGATGGACAGTAGCGTTTTCCTAGCGGCAATTAGGAAATAAAAAACTGCAGTTGACGAAAATAAGGAGGATCCTTAGGAGGCGATTAATGAGGAGACCTTTGTTTAGTAATCGACTTTGATAGGCTGTAATTAATGAAATGATGAATAAAATCAATCAAATCCAAAGAGAAACATATATTTACATAATAAACCATTTAAAAGAGGAAATAAAGAAAGTAAATTTAAATGAAATAAGAAATCATAACGATTTCTACAAATATTTAAAACAATGCTGTTATAATCGATCTCGTAGTTTGCTAAGCAGTTTATTTATACATTGTTTTTTTTTTCCTTGGAAAACTACCTAAGTTCGTTTTGCTGCTTTTTATTTGGCTTGTGGTGGCGGTGTAAAATGCCGTGTGGTTGCGATGTATGAGAATACCATTCAAATCAACCCACACCACTACACTAGGGAAGACATCACCGTTGATTAAACGACAGGTATTTCGCCTATTAACAAGCCATGCGGAAAAATACTCCGTGACCGCTGCTTTTTATTATATTTCAAACTAAAAACAATATCTTTGCAGACTAATTGCCAAATACTCTAACGCTACTCAATTTTAAGATGTTGTTAAGTGTCGTGGTGTCACAGTCACTTTGACTTAAAGTGATAGAGACAGCACGAGACATCTTGGGCCTAAGAATTATTATGAAATCATAAAATAAAAATTGTTATGAAGTTTTTACGTACATTTGTAACGTCTTGAAGTATTCAAGCGCCTGCGGAAGACAAACAACCTTGCACCAGTTGACTGGCGTATACAATCCCGAAATAGTACAATGTTAAAGCTACCATTAACCGATATACGGCGCATTACTGAGGCCAAATGGAAAAATATTTATTATTTCTTCATAGTGAATTATGATTAATACATTTGTAAAAAGAAGTGGCAGCTCAAAGCTAAGCGCTCGTTTTGAATTTCACGGTATGCGAGCAATACCAGGTTCGATCCCCGCTAGTACTAACAAAATTGTTAATTACAATTTTAAGTGGTGAATTTTCACGTGCTCCGCAGTGAAGGAAAAAATCGTGAAAAAAATCTGGATATCTGAATAATGAACTATATCGGGGACTTGCGAAATCCGCTAACACTTTGTAGCAGCGTGGCGGACTATTAATTGTTCCTAAAACCCTCTCAGTAAATTAAAGCATCGGGACGTATATAGATTGTAACTTGTTAAATTTTTACATACTTATTATTTGTAGTTTGTACTGTGCCTCACATTATTTCTGTTTGATTTTAAGGCACGAATGTTTAAAAGAAATTTAGCACGCACGAAACATTTTGTACTCGTATATTCTCTGCACACATCTGCATATTAATGTATTTACTTTTCTACCGACTTCAAAAAGGAGCCGATACTCAATTCGACTGTATGTTTTTTTTTATGTGCGTTACCTCATAACTTTGTACTCGGTGAACCGATTTCGATGATTATTTTATCATTTGAAGACTGGTGCTTGATCACGGTCTAACCAATAGTTTTTCGAGTTATTCTTAATAATTTATATTGAAGTTGGTTGTACAAAATTTTTAATTTTAAATTATTAAACTCTGCGATACCCAACGTATTTTCCTGGAACGCTATTAATGGTTAAATTCATGAGGCTAACAAACAAAACACACAAAACACACTTAGCTGCCGTTGTGATGACGTAATGGCCAGCTTCAATTATGGTGATATTTATATTGTCTTCTACTGATTAATGTTTCTTCGTAAATTTATAATAAAATAACCACTAGAAATACAAAGCAGGAGGTGGACAATACAAGGGCTAATACTCAACACAAATTGAAGTAGTTGTTTGATCGATATTAAAATAGGTTTAATGAAGACACATAGCTTACACTTAAGATTAAATAATATATTATGTCGTCATATAAGTTGCAAGGCAAGCTAATTCAAATGAGGCAACAGACCGTATCTATAATTCAGTGGGCATCCGCGCTTCACGTGTGCAAATGTATGTTACATAATTATTACCCGTCCGATTTTAAGTGTCCCCGGTCATCTGCGCTAATTGCTCTACATAACACTGTGTTATCCATCTCATTCCTCAATTAGTTTGACTACTTTCGTTTTTCTTTGTCGGACAAAAAACTTTTATTTTGTTCTTTATCATAAACTAATCTTTGTACGTTATACTAATATTTTGTTGTTCTAAATTTAAAATTTCCGTTACTGACTATATCTTTACAATTTCTATCAATCCAGGACTATTTTCTACTGACTTCAAATAGGAGACGTTACTCAGTTCGACTGTATGTTTTTTTATGTGTGTTACCTTGTAACTTTTTTTTTTGGTGAACCGATTTCGATGATTCTTTTTTTATTTGAAAGCTGGTGTTCCCATATAAATTTGATCAAGGTCTGACCAATAGTTTTTGAGTTATTCTTAATAATTTATATTGAAGTCGGTTGTGCAGTTTTTAATTTTAAATTATATAAGTTTAAATTCGAGGGTGGATTGTAAAGTACTCGGCCTAACCAAGAAAATAAACACATACTAAATCAGTTATATTTTTATTTTTTTACATAATCACCATCAAGTTCAATACACTTTTGCCACCTCCCCTTCCAAGCATTTAGACCGTTGAAAAAAAATGATTCTTCCTTAGAGTCAAAATATTCGTCTACAGCTGCTTTGACCTCGTCGTTTGTCGAAAATCTTTGACCTCCCAAGTGCTTTTTTAGGTTAGGGAACAGAAAGAAGTCTGATGGTGCCAGATCAGGTGAATACGGCGGATGCGGTAACAGTTCAAAGCCACAGTTGTGAATTTCAGCCATTGACTGTACTGACGTGTGAACACGGGCGTTATCTTGATGAAACAGGACTTTTCTTCTGAGCATTCCTCGACGTTTTTCTTTTATTTCCTCTCGTAAACGACGTAGTAAGGTGCAGTAGTAATCAGAGTTTATATTCTGACCCCTTTCAAAATAATCAATCATAATCACACCTTTCGAGTCCCAGAATACTGAAGCCATCCACCTTATTTACCAACAAAATCGACTTAGCCTTTTTAGGGGGAAGTGAACAAGGTCTTCTCCACTGTTTTGATTGTTGTTTTGTTTCCGGTGTACAGTAATGAACCCATGTTTCGTCCATAGTAACAAAACGATTCAAAAAATCATCTGCATCGGCTTCAAATAACTCCAAACATTCGCGTGAAATAGTCAATCGCGTCTTTTTTTGTTCAACTGAAAGCAGTCGCGGAACACACCTCGCAGACACCTTGTGGAAACCCAACTCGTTGTCAATGATGTTTTGAGTTCGTTCATAAGAGATGCCTATAATCTCGGCTATCTCTCTAATTTTTAATCTGCGGTCTCCCATTATTAAATCAAGTACTTTTTTAATATTTTCGTCAGTAGTTGACGTCGAAGGCCTTCCAGAGCGGGGTTCATCTTTCACACTCTCTCTACCACGCTTAAATTCTGCTATCCATTTTTTGACGGATGAATATGACAGAGCACAATCGCCTAATGTACTGACCATGTCATCATGGATGGCTTTTGATGATAGCCCCTTCTTATGGAGGTACTTAATGACGGCACGCTGCTCGATTTGCTCCATTCGCGGAAATTATGTCCGATTACTTTGTTAATAAATTTATAAAATCACAACTAATTATCGCACACGTTTCGAACTTCACACAATGAACTAGTCTGAACTGAACTAAATAATGTGGGTAGATTTGATTTTTAGAATTGAATGGATCTGTGTTAGGCCGAGTACTTTTCAATCCACCCAGGTATTAAAGATGCTCTGTTAGCGTGGCATTCTTTATTACTCTTTTTTAGTCTGCCGCTACATAAAGGCCTACAAAAGCACTTTAGCGTGATGTATAACTTAAAATATTAGTTTATACTTACTTCTCTACACAAACGGCTTATTTGTGGTGTGGAGAACCAACACCTTGCACTGTTAATCCTAGATCCCTTACCAGTCACTGCGATTTTGACCCAATGTCGGCGGTATAAGAGAATTCATGACCCCATTTCGTCCCATGAGTATCATGCTAGAAAAAACCGGCCAAGTGTGAGTCGGACTCGTGCACCGAGGGTTCCGAAGAAATCCGTAGGTATATAAGTTTCAAATTATTCATAATATTTTTATTGAAACTACAGTAACTAAAAATTTATGCTTTTCGCAATTTTTCCTTTATCTGTGCTATAATACGTTGCTTCGTACCAAATTTTAAGATTCTGAGTTCACGGAAAGTACCCTGTAGGTTTTGATTCCTTTGCGAATGTCGAAAATTTGCGGCATAAGCGGCTGTATCTTTTGATTGCGTTGGCTTAGAAGTTTGATTTCTTCACAGTTCCAAGGGACAGTAGACTTGAGTATTTGATATGAATTTCAGCTTGATTACCTCCACGCGTTCCTGAGAAAAAGGGTCTTGACAGACAGTTTTCTCCTTTTGAGGCACGGAACCGTAAAAATCTAATGATTACATTTTTCTAGCATATCCCACAGTCACGATATAACCATTTCGATTACGCCAAACGTAGAATACTCTGACCTGCGACATGATGTCTGGAACTGCGATTTCATCAAGACAAATCCTCCCTACAGCAGCAGCAGCCGTGTTCAGTTGTGTGTGTTTAGTGTAT